TCATCATTTGTCGAAGAATCGCTTAGTAAGAATATCCGCTTCGACGATGATGTTGAACATAATAAGAAAAAAATATACACGTGGTTGAATATAGAAATCTAAAGAGAAAAATACTAGTGAGCAGTAGCACGTAATAAATAGTATTTGATTGTTTGTTGTCTTTTTCCAAATAAAATACGACTCAAATGGCCAATATAAAACTGGGGATTAATCAAAATTGTTCAGACCAATAATATTGCGGAATAACAACGGGGTCACATGAAAACTTGATTTTGGGGTATGACCCCAGCAAGTGTATCAAGAACGAGGTGTTCTGTGTATCAGGATCAATGGTTTTGCTTATCATTATGATTATAATTATTGTCATGTGACTACGAGATCATCTTATATCCCCACCCCGCTAAACGAAAGGGGGATATAAACTGGGTGTGAGTGTAATTTGAATTCGGTTATTTTGGTGTGGCGAATTTTACTGTGCCACATGTGTGTTTGTATCCATGTTATTTTGTAGTACATGTAGACGGTGAGTTATTATTTACTTTGGAGTATTCTATATAGTGGGTTGAAGAAGAGTATATAAAGAAAAGAAATGTACTTTTAAAATGTCATCTGTATCTCCTACGATATTCCCTTCAAGTTCGATGATGTCGTCCTTTCTGGAATCAACGGGGGAGAGAGGTATGAAGGCTTCTATTGTGATATTGGTTTGAGATTTGTCAGAGTTTAAGAAGAATGCATCAGCGACGACGTAGTAATCATATTGGCCACGGACAGAAGCGCGGACAGATTTGATGGTGGTGGCAAAATGATAGGACATAGTAATAGTGGTTGTGGTAGAGTTTTTAAAGATGCTGTCGTCGTCGTCGTTGTTATGTTGTTATTGTTGATTTGAGCGTTCATAAGTTTGGTGGTATTGACGAACATTATTGGTTGTTGGAAATATTATGAGTAATTTGGGGATGGAATCAGTAAACGGAAAATTTATTATTCATGGTTTGACCTATTGGATGGAAAGGGAAATAGTGATAGGTTATTTGTATTAATAATAATAACAGTAGTAATCATGGAATTGTTTACATTGCTATTAAGAATATCGAAAAAATAAGTACAGAGACACCTTTAAGTGCACTCTCTATAAGTGCACACTCCATGTTCTACATGTGCAAGCGATTTTGACCAGATATACAGTCCTACCTCGTTTATATCCCCACTTTGGGACGGAGCTTTTTCGGGGATATATTCGAGGTGGGGATACAA